GTTTCACAGAAATATTAGAGAGCTAGGCACAAAGTCTGTATTAGGGTCATTGGAAGGGAATGTCCCATGGAACAAACTCTACAAAGTAGCCCTCCACTCCACAGAATAGGTTCAGTCTCCTGGCCTATTTTGATTCTACTTCTTGTCATTTAATATTTTACAGGAAATGGAGCAGACACTGTCCAATAAGACAAAGTTTCATGTTATGCATACTTTTCTTTTGAAAACAAGCTATGGGGATCAGTTTGGCACTTTGACTTGTACATCGGCATGCTTGCCATAATGTGACATTTATCAACTGGGTACACTGCTGCAATATTTTACTCTTGATTTATCATCACAGTTTAAAATGAGGCAAAAATCACAATTATTCATGTACTCATTTCTTGTACTCAAACTAGCTGCCCTACCAGGTTTTATTTTTATTCCTCTTGACACCACTACATTTGGCTGCATAAAGAAATTCTGTCCCTCTATCTCTCCCATTTTAATTGGTGTGTGTAACCCCCAGAAGCAACACTAGCTAGCTCTGTCCAATCCACTGGTTTGTAAAATAACATGTGTACAATACTCATACCTGTGTCTTTGGCCACATACAACAAGAATTACATTTCTACCAGGAGAAGTGCCATGCTGAATTCCAGGTGACAACCTGGAAAATCTCTATAAGAGTTTCTCTTGCAAGAATTAATGCTTGTACACTTTCCTCCTGAGCCAGGTACAGACATTTGGGAGCATTAGGGGAAGGTTAAATCAATTCAAAATGACTGCCCCACAGCAGGTAAGTCAGGATGGGAGGCCTAGCCAGGGGGGTTAGGGGTCCAGCAGGCTAGAGGGGGTCCGCTGGGGGATGGAGGGGCAGGTGCAACCCATGGGTAGCATGGGGGCAGGCATGAGCCACAAAAGGTGGAGGGACCAAGTGTGACTTGCAGGTGGAGTGGGGGAGCAGGCACAACCCACAGGCTGGGGGGGCTGGCGCAACCCACTAGTGGGATAGGGGGCAGACGTGACCCATGGGTGAGGTGGGAGTTCCCCCCCGTGAAATTATACCCCCATCCCTCCTGCCCCTCCCCCCACTGGGACTTACTTTCTCAACTTTGGCAGCAGTGAATGCTGATAAAAGCAGCTGCACCCGGAGCAGCTTGTGGGATGGGGGTTAAGAGTGCTGGCTTGTGGGGGAACAAGAGGCCAGGGGGCAAAAAACAGACCAGTGCAGGGGAAGAGGGAAATGAAAAAAGCAACCCTGGGGCTGGGGCCGGCCAATGGCTGGGTTTTTCCCAGCCTCGGGTCTGCACAGGGAAAGTGTACAGAAGTTCTACGCACCAGTTTGACCTAAATCAAATTAGTCTGATGCTACACAGATCCAGGTTTATCTTAAACTGGGCTCTGCCATTTTAAACCAGTTTGTGCATATGGAAATTCTATTCTGCTACAGGTTTAGACTGACTGCCGGTCACTGAGACTGGGTCTGAAAGTGTAAAGTCAGCACTGAAATGAGGTAAGTTTCAATTGGGTGGACATTTTGAACCCAATTTAACCTCCTGAATGTCTGTACTTAGCCTTGGTGTGGTCTGGGATGGAAAGGGAGCAGCAACAGCTCCTCCCTGATTCTTCTCCAAACTAGAGACTGCCCAGTTTGGGGAATGAGCCAGGGACTGATCCCCTGTCTTCCCAGACTGGTCTGGGAGGGGAGGAGAGCAGCAGTCATTGCTCTCTGCTTCTTTCCCAAAGCCCAGGGACTGAGAATAGGGCTTGGGGAGGCCGTCCTCAAACCTGGTTTCTGGTTCCCACTGGCTTCTCCTTGCCACCCTCCCGGCCCAGTTGAGGGCAAAGGGGAACTGGGAGCCAAGCAAAGGAGCAGCCTCCTCTGCTCCCCACCTACTCCACAGATTGGAGGCCCCATCTGAACAGAAAGTGGGGGGTTGCCCTGCTATTCCCATCCTCCCTCATTAAAAGGAGCAACTGCAAATTTGATGAATGTATGCACCAGGCACAAAACCCAGAATTCCATTTGATAAACAGCATTGTCAAGAAAATTATTCCACATTTCGGCTGACATAATACAGGCTTAACCAGTAAGGAGATGAACTTTTAGACAGGAACAAGGATAACATGGAATCTTTTTTATGACTGTCATTTTAATTTTTGTTTTTCTCTCTCACCAACTATTATTCTGTAGCGGGTGCATAAAGGGTGGGAGGAATAAGAAAGAGAGAAAAAGATATGGAATGTGGAGTTTTTAGAGCTGTGGGACCTGTTGTTATTTTCCATGTATTAAGGGATACGTAATCATGAACTGGATTCCCTACGAGATTAAGGAAGTAAGCTACAGATAAAAGCATTAGTTGCTTTACTGTATTTTGGCAACACCCAAACAACAAATGGATTTGTGCATTATTTTATTACTATTTATATAGATTACAGTAGCACACAGGATGTACTACGGTCTTTCCAAACACCAAAAAACATTTTCGCCCCCAATGACTGCGCAGTCAAAAAAAGTCTACGATGTAAAAACTGACTGGGGAAAGATACACTAAAAAAAAAAGAGATGACTTTTATGTCTCTATCTTGGTACACCTAGTCTTCACCTTAAAATAATGAAAAGACTGTATTCCATATTTAAAATGCTGTCAAAATAAGAGTTTTGGAATTAAATGTTGGGCTTGGAAGTAGAGTGCCTGAACAGAGGAATGTCATATTAATGCTGCTTCCCTGCATGCTGTGATTTTCCCATAGTCAGGCTGCCAAAGGCTCTTTTGAAATGGCCAAAACAAGGGAAAAGAGGGAGAATATTGTGCTTAAGTACTGCATCTTTAAGGTTTACAATACACAGTGTAACAGTTCAAAAGACTGTCATTTTGCAGTCAGTTGCAGCTGGAATAGAGGCAGAAGCTAAGAATGACGTGATTTTTATGTAGCTGGCAAACAAGGAACCTTCTCACTGCACCAGCCTGATTTATTTTTGTAGTTATTTTGATCTACTTAGTCATTGCATTTAATGTAAGAGGGTTGATTGGCTGGGTGGGGTAACATAACGCCAACAGAACAAAACTTGAAGTTTGGGAGGGAAGGATGTGATTTTTTGTTTTGACTGCCCCAAAATCTATTGAACCAACTACAGCTTTCAATTAACCCACAGTAGCTGTAACTGGATCAAAAAAATAGAAATAACCAAAATCAATCTGTTTTATTTCCTTTGATAAACATCAGGAAAATATGAGATGTAATTAGACTAAAGGATCTCTCATTGCTGGTTAGCACCACTGGGAATCTACCTTGGCTCTCTCCTGTCCTGGAATGCTGAACGGACAAGAAAAGGCATCAGGTAGCAGGTCCTTTGCTGCTCCTTTTGATTATCTTCCACTAAGACAATTTAATATTTGTGAAACTTGATGGCTTTTTTTTGTACAGAAGGCTGAGCAATGAGGGCCTGTGTTCAAGCTGAATCACCTCATGGTAGAGCTAACTCCCATCTGATATCAAGTTCTTAACATAATTTTCCCTGTGAGGTCCCACATAGGGTGGGATGGTGCCCTCTCGCATCTCCCTTTTTGAGTAAAAGAGTGAAGTCTGTTCATGGAAAACTCCATTTCTTCTTGAGAACACTACCTGCCCCTCATGGTTTTTTATAGCAAAAAAGAAAAATGTCTTCTAAGTATGTTAATGGTTCCCTAAGGATAGCAAGTCCTGCAGTTCATGTGCTTCCTACTACTCTCTTCCTCACTAGCATGTAGCAAAACTTAATCTTTTAAAGGAATTCATGAATCTCAACCTAGGAAGTATTATAGCCTGGGGGGGCGAGGGGTGGGAGTGATGAGTATACCAGCAAAGTGCTGGGTCCTTTAGTTTCCACTGGATTCACTAGGGATTATGTTTTCCCAGTACTTTGCAGGATTCAGCCCTGAACTGCTATTCTCACTGCTCAGTGAGTTGCAACATATTTCACAGTTGCAGTCTCAAACAACCAAAATCTGTTCATTCAACTTAAGTTTATTTCCTCTGTTCTATAGTTCTATTTATTCATTTAGACTTACATGACCAAATTATTTATGGTCTCAGCCATTAATCCTTAAAGTGCTCCAGTGGGCTGAGAAGTCTATTATAATTTGTAACAGGGAACCTTTGCCCTGTTACTGAGAAGTGGTGAGGCCCCTTTAAGGACAGGGTCTTTGCAGCACAGGCAACCAGCAGATTGGGGGTTAAAGGTGTAGTCAAGTCAGCTGACAGGGGAGTCGCATGATGAGAAGGGGACAGGGCCTGAATGAAATATAAGCTAGGGCCCGGGCCAGGGTAGCCAGTGCGCAAGCTTCAGGGGAAGGAGCTCTGTTACAGGGGGCCTAAAAAAGACAGGCCCTGAGACCTGCAAACTAGATGCCTACAGCCTATAGGGAAGTGGGGCCCAGTATGGGAGACAGACTGGTAGTTCAGACTGGAAGTGACTGTTAATGTTGAGACCCAGCATGGGGGATCATTTGTTATTGTAGCCAGAGGGCTTTTTACATTGTGCTGTGGCTTGGATGGGACTGTAAGGGGTGGTTTTTGGAGGTCCCATCAGGGGTACATGATTGCCTTCAGCCCTGCTAGGGGCAGGCTCATGGCATAGTTAGAGTGCCCAGAGCCCAAGGAAGGGCAGAGCGTAGGGGCTGCAGGGCCCCAGAGCCCAGACAGGGGCAGAGCTTGGGGCTGAGGCCCAAAAGCCAGAACCAGCCAGAGTAGAGGGATAGAAACCAGGAAGGCTGAAGCCCCAACAAGAGAATAAAGGTCTGAGGTGGCCTGGTGACCCCCACCTGTACAACAATGAGTTATGATACAGGCTTTCCACTGTAAATTAGCTAAAAATAAAGGCATTTTGGCCACATCAGAAAAGCATAAGTTTATCTGACAAACTCAGTGAATTCCTGCTTGATGAATGGACTCTTGAGGACCTCCAAAAATTTCTAAATACCTCCCAGGTTTTTAAAGAATGCTGGATTTTTCATCAATGTAAAAACACTTACCCTGTTGTGTAAGGTATATTTATGCCCCCTAGATTAATGCTTTCACATCCAACAATGAAGAGCGTTGAAAAGCACAGCAAAGACACACCACTGCAGATCATAGCCAACTTTGCAGACTCTCTTGCACCAAGTTTGAGTTTTTTGATAATGTAGCCACCTAGGACAATACCAACACCAGCACTTGGGACAATAATCACACCTGCCAAGAGGAAAGTGAAGTGTAAGATTAAAATAGGAACTGTGGAAATCGAAAAGAAATATTGTTTCACTCACTACTGAGATTACTACAAATCCTACACTATGGACTCCATTGTATACCTTCCTACTGGCAAACTGAGTCCGAATTCTCAGAGCTCTAGGGTGATGTCAAAGGATTAATAAAAGCCTCCTTATGATACTCCCATCAACAGAAACACCATAACAGAACTATTGTATTATGCAAGTAGAAATACTGCTCTATATTTATTTTAGAATGGGAGAGGTAATGCAAATTGGTCTGGTGTCATTAATGATAGTCTGAAGAAGAAATCCAAATGTGGGGCTAAATCTGATCTTCTTACTCCCAGAATTAGTTCCAATGAAGTATACAAGAAGGTAGTACTAAATCTACCTACCTATAACTGCCACAGTGAGTCTTTTTTTCTGACCACTCGGTACATTTTTGTGTTTGTAGAATTCATCTGGATCCTAATAATTTTACTCACATTGAACAGCACCTTACTTTTTGAGTAGTCACATTGATTTAAAAGGACTTTTGCACAGTAAAATAAGATTAAATATGAGTAAGAATATCAGAATCTGGGTTCTTAAGAATTCAGCCGGTTAAGAGACTCAACTTGCTTCTAAAACACACTAAGTTTTGACATACTTATGGATGAGATCCATACCAGTTCACTGCTACAACCACAAAAGGGTAATGTGGCAATGGGCGAGATGGTAGCCCTCTTCCCCAGTGCCTTGTGGAGCCGCTAAAGTCTACAAAGTTCATGTGCTACCAAAGTTTCTCTTGGCTCTCACTACCCGTTGTGCTTTACTGATATGTAAATCTTTAAGTGATGGTTGGGCTAATTTAGCAACAAGCGTGAACTTCAGATATTTTAGGCAGTCGAATCCAGATGGTAGGGCTATAAAGTTAGGTTAGGCTTCACTGATTTACTTTTAATAGGACATGCAAGAGTTGAAAAGACTTTTGAAATACAGCTGCAATCATAACAGCTGGTAACAGATAAGATGGCCAAGCGGAGCTCCCAAATGATTCCTTTGCACCTGTGTTCCTGGACACGGATACAAGCATGCATCCCAGTGGGACTTTAGGTAAGCACAAGATAGATACCAACCCACCAACTGTTAGCGCTGACCTAGTAAAGGGGCACTTGGAAGGGTTTGGATGTATTTAAGTCAACAGGCCCTGATGATCTTCATCCTAGGGTACTTAGGGAATTAGCTGGAGTCATAGTAGAACCACTGTTTGAGCACTCATGGCACTCAGAACAGGTCCCAGAGGACTGGAAAAGGGCCAATGTGGTCCCTATATTCAAGAAAGGGAGGAATGAGGAACCAGGTAACTATAGGTCGGTTAGCGTCACCTCTATCCTTGGCAAGACCTTTGAGAAAATTGTTAAGGATCACATTTGTGGGGGACCAGCGGGTAAAATAATGCTAAGGGGCAACCAGCATGGATTCATAGCAGACAGATCGTGCCTGACTAACCTGGTTTCTTTTTACGACCGGGTCACAAAATGCTTGGATGAAGTAATAGAGGTAGATGTTATTTACTTAGATTTTAAAAAGGCCTTTTACACAGTGTCATACCCAATTCTTATAAATAAACTAAACAGTTGCAATGTAGATTATTACAGTCCAGTGGGTGGAAAATTGGCTTATGGGACACACCCAGAGAGTAGTGGTGGATGGGTCAGTTTCTTCCTGGAGAAATGTAGGCAGCGGAGGCCCCCAAGGCTCTGTCCTGGGACCGGCACTGTTCATTATCTTCATTAGTGACTTGGATGAGGGAGTAGAAAGCGCCCTGTCCAAGTTTGCAGACAATGCCAAACTGTAGGGTGAGGTACACAAACTAGAGGGCAGGGAGTGAATCCAGGCAGATTTGGACAGGTTGGGGAAGTGGGCGGAACAGAATAGGATGCAGTTTAACAAAGATAAGTGCCATGTGTTGCACTTAGGGAGGAAGAATCATCAACACACCTATAGCCTGGGAGGTACCATTCTAAGTAGCACAATTGCGGAAAGGGATCTCCAAGTTGTGGTCGACTCCAAAATAAACACGAGTCGCCAATGTGATGAAGTAATAAGTAAAGCTAACTGCACTCTTTCTTGCATAAGTAAGTGCATCACAAACAAGTCTAAGGAGGTCAGGCCGCATGCTGGAGTACTGCATCCAGTTTTGGGTGCCGATTGAGGGACCTAAATCTCTTCAGCCTCCACAAGAGAAGGCTGAGAGATGATCTTGTGGCCATCTAGAAACTCATCGGGGGGCGGGGGGTAAATAGGATAACATTTTATCCTATTTAAGGATACAGTGTTAGCTATTTAGGTTCCGAATTCTATGGGACATATCCTCCGATATGTCAGTTCACACCAGCTAAGGACCTAGTTCTGTGTAGTGTCCATTTTAGTAGCTTTTGATTTTCTGCAAAAACTCACTATTTCATTCTCCTTCTCTACTTCCTATATTCTCCCTTCACTCCTTTAGTTCCCTCCCTTCCTCCTCATGACCTATTTTTTTAAGTCAATAAATCTCCCTTCATCTAACTTCATTTTTAGTTCCTTCCTGCTTCCCTATGCTTTTGAAGCCTCCTTCTTGGATTAGCCATTCTTCAAGCAGCAGAGTTTTTTGTCTGTTTCTTTGGTTGTTAAGCACCTTGTCAGAATAAAGCAAATAATATTAGCTGGGTAGATGCTGTGTTAGTGACTCTGCTCTTTGTTATAATAGTCAGTTTTTGTAACCATGCTAGTCTGAAGACTTCTTGGTCTAGGACAAGAACAGAAGAGGTGAGGATGAAATCCCACTTTTAGTTTTCATCCCCAATCATTCAAGACCTACAACTGCAAACTGCAGCACAAGGGCTGCTTCTTCCATGCTTCCCATGGAATAAAAAATCTTCTAACATGCCACTTGTTCAGGGCAGGAGGCACAATTTTGGGATTGGGGATCAGATCCCAAATGTGCCGTTTCTACTTGCCAGTGCAGGGGGAGCTCAAGATCACGATCATGGCTCAGCAAGGTAGCTTCTCACCTGGAGGGGAGGAGGCATAGGTTGCTCCTAGTGATGCAGAAGCATACCTATACTGCCCTCTATGCTTCCCCCACCCCCCGCATTCTCCCTCAGTGCCTGTACTGATTGACCAACCTCAAAAGGAGCACTACAAAAGTATCTCCCTGCACCAACAAGATGAAAGTCAAGTGCCTGCAAGTCCAGGGTCAGGGCTGATAATCAGGCAATTGGAAACTCTGCCTAGGGATCATAATGGAGTTTCAAATTGACCAGTGCAGTCCAGGGCTCAGCTTACAATCAACTTCTTCTCTTGTATACTTCATTTCTCCTTCTGCACATCAATATTGTGGCAAAGCCACCCAACTGCTTTATCGTTGGGGGACAGGATACAGACCTTCACATGGCATCCCCTGTTAGTAGCTACATAAGCAAGCCAATTGTGTCAAACTACTTTCAACCTACCTATCTACCATCATAAACCTATTGACAATCAACTGATTGTCGGTTTTGGTTCCAGGCTATTTCAAGACCTTGGCCTTGAACACGGGGGCTGTTTCAAGACTTTGGTGTAGTCCTTGGCTGGAGCCAAAAATCAGACCTGGCCTGGACCTGCTCCACATTCAGTCTGACTTTACAAACCAGCCACAGAAACAGACTGTGTAGAATAACAGAATAATGTAGAATATTATTATGGCTGGTCTTCCATTTTATGGTGCTTTAAAATTGGGTGCACATGTAGCACTCTTTCATTTATGCCTCAATTAATGTGTTAATTGTGGCATAAATATAACATGTAAAGACAGCCCTAAGCATATATGAAATTGAAAGTAACAATTGATTTAAACAACATAGCTATTACTACAATGGCTCTTCCAGAGGTGCTCCCAAGGCAAAGTAAAGCACGAACAGCTAATAAAGATATTCATTTTTCATTTTCAAAGTCATATGAAGGAACAAAACTGAGATGTGATAATCAGCTGCTGAATTGCACATAGCTTCATTTTATAACAATGGTTTGGCATACAGGAATTTGTGTGTGCCAAACGTACTGCTGTATATAATGTTCCAAGGCAAGATCAGTTTTCAGTCAGCAATTTTCAGGCTCTGTCTTTTTTTGTTGTAGTCAGAATACTGTGTGTGGCTCTTGAAACTTTCCAGCAAAGACAAAAAATGATCTTAACAGCTACTAATAGTCTGATTACATAAACCTGCAAGATTTGCAAACAGGGCAACATTTCCTAAGGAAGTAACAAAGGCTTTAAAAATCAATAGCATCTGATATGTACACTGCACCTTTTTTAGAATGAAAGAGCCAATATATAGCATTTAACTATTTTCAAGAATAGTAGAATATAGTGTGTGAGCTTTAGCACGCAACATGCAATACTTTAGATCGCAAAATAATTTACAAATAAACCTTCCTTCCATGTTTTCTAATTAACTAAACCATCTTATCCTTGGAGCTAAAACTTTTCAGCTTAACCTTCCTTTTATTTTATTTTATTTATTTGCTAGTGTTGTTTAAGTTTTAACTGCAATCTCCTTAGATGACTGAAAACAAACAACTGTTTTTAATTTAAAAAATGTCTAACTCCACTTCTTTGGAATCCAACTCCACCATGTGGAGAGCTCTGTCTCATTCTTTCCTAACTGGGCACCCTTATGTGCTTCTATAATGTTGTGATTTAGGTCAACACAACTCAGCAAGGAGCAAAACATCTAGCTAACAGGTGGTAGCACTGACTGAATTCAGTATAACCACTCCCTTTGACTACGGCATTTTTCCAGGAAGTGAGAGATCTAGGGTCTAGGTCCTAATCATGCTCAAGGGATTTGTTCTAATCTCCAGAATGCAGGCTAGCTAAGATCATTCTCCCGTTCTCTCTTTGGAAACAGGGCAACGGAAAGGAAAGGAATACAGGAGTTAGGCTACAAAAGACACCAAGTACGAGAAATCTTGACTGTAGTCCAGTATGGAGGACACTTTCCTGGGACTGGTAGAGCATGGGTTATGCTCCCAATGTTCTAAATCCCGAAATCATTTTACATTAAATAATCATTGAACAAAATTCATAAACAGCATTTAAGGCAAGGACCCAGGGCTCCCTCTAACCAAACATTAATTCAGTGTGGTTTTCCTCCACATAAGGAATCAGGAACTGAGACTAAATTTATGTGCCACACAGACAGAACTGGACCACAACCCAGCTTAGGTAGAAAGCTGGATGTCTACATGGCCATCCTGGGTTACCTCAGAGTAGGCACATTAGGCCAAAAATAGTTGTGTTAATCTTTTCAAGCCAAAACAGAACACAAGGAAGCCAGCTGTCATAGGAGTTTCATATGTATTTCCTGCAGTGCCCAGAAGCCAAATAACATCCACTATAGTGTATCAGAGGTGAAACAGAAACTAGGCCAAAGGCCCCAGATGTACAAATTATTCTATATATGCAGCTTCTTTCAGCCTTGAAGACACCCAGTAAAATTATTAGGACTACCTGGGAATGTAAGCGAATGGTAATAAGAATGGTACTGGAAAAGTAACATGCCACTAGCCACATAACAAAAGGACAAAAGTCTAAACTGTGCGCACACTGCAATGGTGAGGGAGTGAAGCATCACACAAAGTGGACACCCACAAACACTGGTTACAGAATTGAAGAGGTGAGTGAATTTTGGCAGCAGCATTTCAAATATGCTGTATTGTGCCAGGCTTGTGTTTAAAAATGAATGGGAGATATTGCAATAGTCAAGCTGGAAGATGAAGTAGTAGAGCGCTGATAAGCGATTCTGTCACTGGAGAGAATGGAAGGGAAGGATATTTTAAAGGTTTCGGAAAAGCATAATAATAGTTATGATGTTAATTTTTTTAAGTTTATAAAGACCTTCAAAGCTATGAATGTGGCAGCATGCCAAGTTTTTCTTTAACATACTTTAGAGAAACAGTAAATACAAAACAAAACTGTAACAATAAAAATACATTCATGTTCCATAAAACAAGCAAAGCAAAACAGCAAGAAACTGCTCAAATTTCTAAATGAAAACATAAAGCCAAATATTATTTAGCTGGTAGGATTATAATTTTAAAACCAGTTTCAGGGTTATGTTCTCTACTGATTTTGTTTCGTTGGTCAAAGAACCATAATCCTTTCAATGTTGCACTAATGGCAATGCCTTACCAGTGTAGATGCTGGCATTAGAAGCTGGGATGCCAAACTGTGACTCGATGAACTTGGGAATGAAGGTAATAAAAGCAGTAACAATGGCACTCTCAGCTGTGTATGACAAACTCACAAAAAGGAATGTCATGTTGCTTAAGATCCTGACAGCTGCTCTTGGAAGCTCTAAAAATGACAAAAATGACAAATGAATGTTATAAATAATGAATGGAAAACAAAACAAAACAAAACAAATTGATTTTCTTGGACATGGAACTCTAAATAATGGTTTGTTAGCATTTGGCCATATTGGCTAAATAAATAAGAAAAAAAGGAGAGAGAGCGAGAGAGAGAAAGCAAGCAGGTTTGTGACTGGAAATATTTTCCTTTGTTCTACTGCTTTCTTAATGTATCCCCTCTGGGGTTCTAATGCTGCTCTGCAAAAGCACGGGGCTCTAATTACAAAAGCAGGGCCTTGAAAGCAATCTTGAAACAGCCAAAAACAGGGTCACAATTGTAGTTGCTTCAAAATTTCTTTGATGACTCTTTCATTTCCGATGATATAAATATTTTGATTTTTTTAAGTTACCTTGAGGATAATATTCAGGTTATATTTCTGTATCAACAACTTTTTTGCACTCTGCATGATCGAAAAGTCCATATTCTGTATTGCTCTACCAACAACCTATTGCTTAAATTATTGTGCTTCAGATACACTGGTGATAATATCATAATCTGAAAATGTAACCAATATGATTTTGTAGTTAGTAAGCTCTGTCAGTAATACAAAAAAAAAGTGGAATATAATTTACAAAGTTTATAAAATACAGCATTTGGGCAAGAATGCTCAGACAAGGATTTAAAAAAAAAAAAAAGAGAATACAGCACAGTGCTTTAAAAGGCAAAACAATTCATAAATATAGAAATAATTCCAGAAACAATCATTGCTAACCCAAAAATTCAGAATTGTGATAAACTTGAAATAAAGCTAAATGCACCGTGGTATAGATATACATAGTTTAGGCATCTGAAAAACTTTTAACTCAGTACTCAAGTGAAATCATGTGATAACCATCTAATTAAGATTAATACATTCATCCATTTTTCCCCCAGACTAAATGCATATAATTTTCAGACATTTTATTTTTATTTGTTTGCTTTTTTTAATACTTTTTTCCTTTGGAGATTTTTCTACAATGCTGAGTCTATAACTAACTTTACTTCCACTAATGTAGCTTTTCTCTCTAGGAAAAGCAGAGGAGATTGAAATAGCCAAGGTAGAAGATTAAGTATGGCATGGATAAGTGATTTGTTTTCTGGGGAGAATGGAGAGGAAGGATATTTTAAAGGTTGGATACAAAGCTGCTTAAATTCTTTGAAAAGTTTCCCATTGACTTTGACAGAGTTTAAAGTAACTTTTATACAGTTGGTTTATAGGAAGCTGCTGAATTCTTGAATGGGTATACTGTCTGTGTTAGTGTGTTATGGGGAAATCCTACTCTCCTTGTTCTTCTGAGTTCATTGGGGTTATTTGTCTGAGTAAAATAAGCCAGTCAAAGCTGGTCAGGCTGCAAAGGAGCATATATATTGGTCTGCTTCCAGTTTTAATCTCTGCTGGTCCTGTAAAATTCCACCAAATGAATTACAGACAGAAGGAATTATCCTTTTGATCTAGTTTCAAATGTTTTCCTGTTGGCTCTAAAAAGAAAAAAAAATTATTAAATTTTAAAATCTAAAATATGGAGAGAGAAAGAACACACAAATTCTACAGAACCCTTCTTATTTTGAATAGCTGCTGTTTTAAAACAACCATATGGTTAGGCCTGTAGCAAAAGTTACTGAAAAGTTATGATACTGAAATGATAAACCAAAAAGAAACAAGGTGACATTTGGGCATGAGGATGATATGATGTCAGTACAAAAACACAGAGAAGAGATTAAAGTGTTATGACAATGCCAAAATTACATTGTTAAATACCTAAACTAAATTATGGAAAGTGGTAAGTAGGAAAAAGAAGCATTGTTAAAATCCTGTGACAGTCATATTACAAATTCAGAACAAAAACGATACAGATGCAATTAAATACTGGTACACTGCCCACTATTTAGTTTAAAAATAAAGGTAGGAGGTGAATCAAGGTCAACTAGAGCCCAAATGGAGCCAAATTTTTAAAAGCTGCTCAGATGTCCTTGCAACAGCCTGCACCCACAAGCATGGCTGTTGAAGAAAACAGATGCTGCAGGGCAGGGAGAGGAGCTTTCTTTAGAACAGGTTGAGGATCAATCAAGATGCCCACCTGACCTCAAAGTCCTAGACTAGTGAAGAGACATTAAAATCACTAGTAGTTTAAAACCACCAGCTGTACCCTCCCCTTAAAAGAGTGGGCTGTGATTGCTGCAAGAACAAAGGAGACGGGGGAAGCTAAATCGGAAAGCCAGGGCTGATTTTACTGGTAACTGGATTTCAGTCCAAGTAGCTGGTGATTTTAAATTTAAGCAGTCCACAACTGCTGCAGTCATAAGCACAGAAAACTCTAAATCAAGGCCTGGTGAATGTCTATTATCTATCCAGGCAAAGCATAGGAAGGAAGAAGCTGTGGCTGGCAAATATCCCTCCATAAAATCATCTTCTACCAGAGTGGAAAATCCAGTGCAGTAAAGTGAGCTTTAAAAACTACAGGTACTAAATCATTTACTTTTTCTTTTTCTTGTACTTTGTTTATGAAAACAACTGTCAATTATTTGAAGCATCCAGTAGATAATTTCACAGGAGTACTGAAATCCGACCTTTAAGCATCAGAATACTGTCCTCCAAAATTACACTTCCACTGCTAGAAAAAAACTGGAGACAGTATTTGAGATTAAATTTGTAATTTCTTGTGTTCCAGGGAAGAGTAGTAACCTAGTCCCCAATATATGTGGAATGAAAATAACCCAACATCAGTTTAGGTCACACTTTATTATATCAAATACTTTTACTCTGAACAAATAAATTAAAATGTAACATTACATTTTACAGTACGATTCTGCCACGTTTTCATATATATCAAACAATAATTTAAATCATCTCACTACAACTAGATCTCATATGCATTCTCAGAACAGGCCTTACTACACTTAAATAGCAGCCAAAGAGTTGAATAGTACATAATATTCCATTAAGAAAATGGAGTTTTGAAGTAAATTTTCTATTAGTATTACTTATTCACAATACAGTAGCATCTGAATTCTGAGACTGGTTCCCATTATGAGAGGCACCATACAAAAATATAGACCAATTAGACCGGGGTGGGCAAAATACGGCCCACGGACTGGATCCGGCCCATCAAGCCATTCTATCTGGCCCGCGGGGCCCCCCAAAATTTAGAAAATTAATATTTATCTGCCCCTGGCTCCTGTCAAAGATGACAGGAGACAGGAGCAGTAGGACCCAAGGGAAGCCCCGCCTGGCTCCGCCCCCCCAGCTGGAAGCCCCTGCTGTTGCTCTGGCTGCTCCACCATGGGAAATTCAGGTAAGAAGTGGGGGGGGGAGAAAGGGAGGGTGGGGAGGGAGGCAGAGGAGGACTGCGGGAATCATCCCAGTCCTCAAGGCTGGGCCAGCTCCTGCTGAGCCCCACAGTCCAGCCATGCAGTCGGGAGCCGGTGGCCAGGAAAGCAGCGGCGGCCGGGGCGGGGGGGGGGGGGGGCATGTAGGAACACAGGGCCAGCGTCAGTATCCTGGGGCCAGTGCCAGCAAGGCCCAGAGCGGGGCAGTAGGAGTGCAGGACGCAGGCTGGTAGGGATCTATGGAGCCAGGCTAGGCTGCACCAGCAGAAAAAGGGGGAAGTTGACCAAACTCCATAGAGCCCCTGCTGGCCAGGACCCTGCGCTCCTGCCGCCCTGCTTTGAGCCCCCACGAACGCTGGCCCCGGGACACCAACACGGGCCCTGGGACATCGGCGCAGGCCCCGCACTCCCCCTAGCTGCCTCTGGCTCTTGTGCACCATTTGCCTCCCAGTGCCCAAACCCCAGCCCCACAGTATAGGCAGAAACCAGCGCGCAGCCCTGACCCCGCGTGCCCCATGCTCTCCTTCAGGGAACAAGCTGGTGCCCAACGTAAGGGAAAAGCCCCCCCCCCCCCCGCTCCCTGTGGCCGGCACCCTGTGCTGCAGCCACTCACAACCCATGTGGAGCTGTCCTGCCTCTCCACCCCGTCACCATCACCCTGCGGGGCAGCGGTGGCAACGGAGAGCAGGCACAGGCAGCCCTGTGGGAGGGCTGCTTTCCTCCACACTGAGCAGCAGCTTCTGGGGAACGAACTGGTGCTCAGTGCGCGGGGCAAGCAGCCACTCCCCCTCCCCGTGGCCAGCACCCTGTGCTGCAGCTGCTCGGAGCCCATGCAGGACTGCCTGTGCCTGCTCTCCCTTG